CACAGTCATTTTTATGATATTGACATAGTATTTGGTGAGGTAGTTGATCATAACCCTCRAGACATAATCTGAGGAATGACAGATGGGTCAAGATTGGACCTTACCTATTGAGAGCCAACCTAATGGACCAATGAACAGATTTAAACAACACTTCCAGAGAAAGAGGATGGTTGGATGGATGGATGGATGGATGCAGAAGATGATGGATGGATGGATGGATGGATGGATGGATGGATGGATGGATGGATGGATGGATGGATTGAAGCAGAAGATAATGGATGGATGGATGGATGGATGGATGGATGGGTGGGTGGGTGGATTGAAGCAGAAGATAATGGATGGATGGATGGATTGAAGCAGAATATAATAGATGGATGGATGGATGGATGGATGGATGGATGGATGAACGAATAGATGGCTGAGGGGATGGAGGAATGAATGGATGAATGGGAGAACTTTCAGATAAAAACTCATGTCATGGTCTGAATTACTTTATCTAATTTACCTTTAGAGTCAACCCAATTCAAGATGGCTGCCACAGCCAACACAGAAAAGAGGAACAATTCTGTCATTTTTACAGATATAGAGCTCAAAGCATCAAAGAGTCACTCACAGCTCACACTTTTGAGTACCAACATTTCACAATAACTCACAAGATTGTGCAAAATGTTATTTTTCAGTTTTTTACAACACRTTTCTCAACATAAGTTAGTGTTAGTCATTGGTGATGCATTCTGTCAAAGAATGCTGGGCTTTGGTTGATCACATGGAGGGAGGTGTGAAGGTCGTGTTGTAAATTTGCAGATAAAAGCTTACATAAAAAGTTTATAATCAACCGCTGAGTTAAAAAGCATTTACAACAGCAGTTTAATGATAAAGCGTTGCTGCACTCTGATCASTCGCTGTTGTGCTTTGAAAACATCGAAGTTTAAAGTTTTTTTCTTTTTGACACTTCTTGATGGTTCATTGACTGATCGGTTCGAGTATCATGGCGGAGAGAAAAAACCTGAAAATTAAGCGTGTTATCGGATTAACAGGRGGTGTGGCCCTGGTTTGTGGGACCATGATCGGCTCTGGGATCTTCATGTCCCCTCAGTATGTCCTGGCCTACGTGGGAAGCCCTGGGGCCAGTCTGGTGATCTGGGCTCTCTCCGGAGCCGTCGCCATGCTTGCGGCACTGTGCTACACCGAGATTGGGACCATCATCCCAGAATCYGGCGGGGATTTCATCTACATACTGAGAATCTATGGGCCGTGCCCTGCGTTCTTTGCCGCAGTCACYTTCATCCTGCTGGTGAAGCCTTTCGGCATTGCCGCCATGTCCATCAGCATCGCGGAATACGTGACAGCGCCTTTTTACTCAGGCTGTCAGCCTCCACAGCTAGCTGTCAAATGCTGCGCTGCTGTCGCCGTTCTGGTCGTGGCGACTGTCAACGTCTTAAACGTTCGCGTCGCAGTCAGAGTCCAAGTCGTCTTCATGGTGGCCAAAGTAGTGACGCTGGCGGTCATTGCACTTGGCGGGATTGTGGAGATGGCACAGAACAGCGGCATGATCGTGGAGAATTTAAAAGTTGAGAACTCATTCAAAGAAACCCGGTACTCTGCGAGTGCTTTAGGAATGGCTTTTTATCAGGGACTCTGGTCTTACGCCGGCTGGTACAACTTAAATTACGTCACAGAGGAGCTGAAAAGACCCGAGGTGAGGAGTGGTAAGCACAGCTAGCCAAAGAATTAGCATCACTATATTCCAATAACTAAAAATATAGTTTTACTAAAYCGCTGAACATGTAAAAGTAAAACAATAATAATAAAATAGTGGGTGCTAATGTTAAACAGCTAAACAAGTACAAAGAATTAGCTTAAGCTAATGCTAAACGGGTAAAAAAAATTTGATTGTCAAAATTAGCACTGATTATTACATTTTTTTTTTGCAAAAACTGTGGATTTTTGAGGCTAATTATACAGGTAAACGTCCGAAGGGGTTGAGATGTATGGCCACGTRACACAAAACACAACTGGGCCAGTTGTAGCTGTAAGAAATCCAATGTCCACATAAAATTGAATTTCTCGACTGAATATTATTATTGTTGAACAGCTTTACAACTCAGCAAGTAGCAGCGGACACGCCATTTTCTTTTCGTCACGTAGGACATAAACTGCACTCCAAGGCAACGTGAACGCACGCTCTTAAAGGCACAGTAACTCATTCAACATACACATTATGTGACAGTGGCATTGACAGATTTGGGCCACGTAAACCAAACCACGACCAAGACAGTTGTTGCATTGACAGATTTGGGCCACGTAAACCAAATCACGACCAAGACAGTTGTTGCATTGACAGATTTGGGCCACGTAAACCAAACCACGACCAAGACAGTTGTTGCATTGACAGATTTGGGCCACGTAAACCAAATCACGACCAAGACAGTTGTTGCATTGACAGATTTGGGCCACGTAAACCAAACCACGACCAAGACAGTTGTTGCATTGACAGATTTGGGCCACGTAACCCAAAACACGACTGGGCCAGTTGTAGCATTGACAGATTTGGGCCACGTAAACCAAACCACAACCGGGCCAGTTGTGGCATGCCATCCTATAGAGTATATCATTTAAAATCCGCTTTTTTAGCTATGAAATATATTTTGTTGTGTACTTGAAGTCTCTCCTGGTGCTGCAAAGATATCTTTATATTCTTTTTTGGGTCATATTTTTCAGCCTGTTCAGTTTTCTCTATTTTCTGTGACGTTTTCTGAACTATTATGTTGAATTGTTTACGATGGAACTGCCAAATAAGGTCTGGACTTACCAACTACAGTTTGGTGGTTTTCATTCTCCTCTGGCTCTGGGTCAGACTCTGGTTCCAACATGTAAGGCTGGATGGACAACTCATCCCTTGTTGACAACTTTCAATTAAATTATAGTGTTTCTGCACCGCTAGAAAATGCTAACCCCCTATCTCAAACCGGGGTGGACTGGTCTGGAAGCTGGAGGGKGCRGGGCTTGAAGCGCCTTAAAGGCACAGCATCAAAATGAGCTGCTTTGAGAGACACATCAAAAAAGGAGTGAAAGAGGGGCTGCTGAAGTTAGAGTAAGGAGGAATTCAGACCAAAGTATTGTAGTTTCACCTTTTAAAGACCCAACTGAAGAATTTAAATGCGAAAAGGAAGGATTTAAAAGCATGAGATGTCGATTTTAGAAACAGTGCCATACCTGGCCCACGTTTTGTTGACAAAGCACTAACCATGCCAATCAGGATGGATGGATGGATGGATGGATGGATGGATGCTTGAACCTGGCCCACACCTGTCTGCTCTGTGTGTTGTGAACTTTTCTTTATATTCTGTGTGATTCTATTTTTCAGGTAAATCTTCCCAGAGCGCTGGTCATCGCCATCTCTCTGGTGACCGGTTTGTATCTGCTGGTGAACGTGAGCTATCTGACGGTCATGACGCCCAAGGAGCTGATGACCTCCAATGCTGTCGCCGTCACCTGGGGGTAAGATGAACTCGTGCTTTCCCAGCTGTTTTGTACTCTCGAACAGTTTGGAACATCYTTAGGTTTTTATTTWTTWTTTTWAAAGAGGAATGTTTCTCTGGCAGGAACAAAGTTTTGGGCTCCTGGGGCTGGATCATGTCGGTTGCTGCAGCTCTTTCTGCTTTTGGATCTCTGAACGGGACATTCTTCAGCGGGGGCCGAGTCTGTTTTGTAGCGGCCAGAGAAGGACACATGGTAACTGCCTTCTACAAAATCGATCGAAGCCGTACAAAAAGTACAAGTCGTGTTTTTTAATTTTTGTAGGAGACACGACGAGTTAGAAACAAACTTAACTTTCCGTTTTAGAGATGCTAGATGGAAGAAGGTTTTATTTCTTTCAACGTTTTGTGTATGAACTAAAAACTGCTGYGGGAAGTAAGAAAAGATTGTTCGCAAACGATTTTTAAAGTCTAGACAGGCCAAAGGTTATGAAGTTAACTGAAATATTTCCAAAAAACATAAAACTTAAAACTGTTAAAGATAAAATACTAAAACGTCGGTTCAAATATAAATCCGACGTTTTGTGTCCTGTTTAAACTTTGAGCTGTAATCGAGCTGCACATCTTGATGTAAAAGTTGTATGATTTAACAGCAACATGACTTGATGGAAATAAAACAGAAACGTGTTAATTAGTCTTTAATTAAAGATCTTTTGTTTAGTTTTAAGCAGATCTGTGTCTTTTTTGCAGCCAGACATCCTCTCCATGGCCCACGTCCACCGGCTGACTCCATCTCCGGCGCTCATCTTCACCACCCTCGTCTCCCTGGTGGTGCTGATCCCCGGAGATTTTCAGAGTATCGTCAACTTCTTCAGGTGACTTTTTTATTATTATTAATATTCAGCTGTTTTTGTGTTGATCTGACTCGTCTCTGCCTTGCTGTCGTCAGTTTCACAGCCTGGATTTTCTACGCCATCACCCTGTCCGGACTCATCTACCTCAAAATCAAGAAGCCGGAGCTTCCCAGGCCATTCAGCGTCAGCATCACTGATTTATTTCACGTTTTTTTTTWAAAAACATCAGATTGTGTCATCGCGCCTGTCTGTTTGATTCTCCACAGGTTCCAATAATCCTCCCCTTCCTGGTCCTCATCGCGGCGGTGTTTCTGGTGCTGGCTCCGATAATTGACGACCCTCAGATCGAATATCTTTATGTGACTTTATTTATTTTAAGCGGAGCTGTGATCTACGTTCCCTTCATCCATTACAAACTTTGCCCGGGACTGTTGAGCAGGGTGACCACGTTCCTGCAGCTCTTCCTGGAGGTCGCCCCGGCAGAGAAAAACCTGTGACGAGTTTGACTTCTGCAAAGCAGTGCAGAAAACCAGAACACGTGTTTATGTGGAGTGGGTTTGCACAGATGCACTTAATTGTTTATTAGAATTTAGGAGATTTTATTTAGAAAATGAATAAATTTACTAATATGAATTCTTATATATTTTTATATTAATGTTTAGAGACAACCAGGAACAGAAATCATTTTTTATTTCACCCCTGAACAAAACAAATACTC